TATATATATCAGACATAGCCTCACACATGTTATTTTTATTCCTGGTCTATCGTTTCCTACCAAGTCAAGAACAGCTGCCTATGTGTTGACACAGTCTTCAACTCAAAAACCACAGTTGATGTCTTCAGTGATATCTAAATGAACAGGTTAAATGTAGGATAACACTGTAAATATAATTTATGAATAAAAAACATCTTAATTAAAAGACATGATAAAATATACCTGGGAAATTTCGATTTTCCCCCAAAATAAAAAAAAAAATAAAAATAAAATTCTGCCCTATACTTTTGTGTCTCTACTCAGAGTGTATCCAGTTTTGCATTTACATAAAGCAGAGCAATTTTAAAATGAGCAAGCATGGAGTAAACGCTTTACTGAGCAAACCTGGGAAAAACCCTTCTCCTTACACAGGGTGGCAGTAGTTTGTTTTGATAGAATTAAACATTTGTAGTTACAAATTGTTTCAGCAAACATTGTTTTACATATTTAAAAATAATTTTATTTCCCAAGGGTTTGATTTTTAATATAGCTTTGATTTTTTTTTGAAATGTTCCTCTTTTGCATTTAATTCATTTGACCTATTCCTACTTTGCTTTGAAAACATTTGAACTATTCCAATCTTGCATTAACTTAATTTTAACTATTCCCACGTGGCATTTAATTCATTTAACTATTTCTGAGTTGCAATAAATTCATTTGAACTGGCCACCTGGCATTGAGTTCATTTAAACTATTTCTATGTTGCATTTAATTCATTTGAACTATTACTTTTGAATTAAATTTAGTTGAACTATTTCTTCCTTGCATTTAAATCAATTGAACTATTCCCACCTGGCCTTGAGTTCATTTGAAAAAGTCCCACTTTGAATAACTTTAATTTTAAATAAATATACCTTGCTGGCAAGATCCATTACAATGTTCAGTTTTTGCTTACGTTGACAGGAATATGGGTAACCAACCTCCATGTTTAAACACAACTTTTGTCATGTGTGTGTTATATCTGCACACTCATCAATATCTGATCAACACTGATCTGTGGTTTAGAAATTAGAAGAATAGATCAATTAATTCAACATCCAAACATTACATGTAAAGAAGAATATGCTGATGTGACATTTGCCACTTTTTGTAAACTGCATTTTTATAACAAGTTGTATGTGTATGGGTGCCACAAGGGCTACAGGGTAACTAACCGATGTTAGCTCATCCTCACAGACAAGGATATTTAATTCAGATTAAAATCATGCGTGTCCAGTGGAGATGCTATTCAGTTAAAACATGTTTTACCAAAGTAGCATTACACGTGTGTAACTGTAATGACTGCACCCGAACATTCCGCACACTCTCGAAGTAAGCACATGACCACAACGCAAGTTGTACTTCCTCCAATCACACCACGCAGATCACTTCGCATCGTCAATAGGGAGAAACGGGTATGGGGCAGTGGCACGAAAAGACACTAGTTGTTAAACTATTTTTTTTTTTTTTGTTGTAAATATATTCAATCATTATCTGATTTGTTTTTGTATTTAAAATTTGGCCACGGTTGTTGTGAAGCCAGCGAGGCACCTGGTTTTAAGGTTTTAGGGTGGACACCTATGTGGTAAATCATGACAATATGTTGTTGTAATGACAAGACAATCGTCATAATTTCTGTACATTTAATTGTCATATAATGTAAGGGTAATAAGGGGAGAGACTGCAATATAATGTGATGATTCCTGTAGAACATTAAATTTACTTGTTTGAGAAACTAATAAAGTTTTGGAAATATAACTTCCACTACTACTTGTCACTCCATTATCTCATGTTTACAGCGTCCACTACTTTTATATGTAAAGATCTCTGACAGGTTTGAAATGCCAACATTTTTTGAATTATGAGAACATTGTGTTGTCTG